CCGAGAAACGACACCTGTCTGCACAGTGACGCAACCCGATGATGCTGCAGAAAGTGCAAACCAATGCAAACAGATACACACACACACACCCACACAGGCACAAACATGCCCAGAAACACGCAAATGTGCACACACGCACACGCATGCACACACACACACACACACACACACACACACACACACAAAAACACGCATACGTACACACACAATCACAAAAGCTCTGTACAGTCATCAGAGTAAGCTGAAACTCCTGAAGCGTTCCGAAGGCACACTTAGAGAGCAGGCCGCCTACTCTTAAGCATGTCCCGCCACATGGAAATGCATAAGAGGGCCAAGAGGAGATCCCAGCATGCCTCCCGCTTTTCGAGGAAAAACGAGTTGAGGGAGAGACCGTTTTCCTGGGGCACCTCAGCGACAGCGAGATATCGCGCTGCGCCTGAGGCCGGGAGGTGTGTACCGTAGCATTTTTTGGCTGTCAATCCTGGGAGTTCCGATGCTATGCGTTCCTGGGAGCCTCGGAGGAGCTGGGATGTCCTGGAGAGTCGCCATTCCACCTGGACCCGCCGCCCTCCATCTACTGTGCGGTAAAAAACGGCGCGTGTGAGAAATGGAACAACCACGGAAGCGAGAACAATATCGTTCCCTCCTCCCCTTCGCTCCCCATAAACCCAGGTGGTTGCCCAAGCACGGCAAAGAGAGACATGCACTATTCGTCAAACTAAGAACAACGTACAGGAGCACACCAATCGGAGTACCAACCAGTACCGAAATAGCTTTTATCCCTTCCAAAATTTTGCAGTAATAGATGGCCCGGCTGATGTAGCCGATATACGCAGTCGAGGAGGCAGTTTTGGCGCCAGTTTCGGGGTTTGTAGTTCCTTGCAAGAATGCCCCGGGTCCGTTTGCGTCAGGGAGTCGCGTCCTGTTGTGTCACGGGGTGGGAAAGGGGAGGGAGATGGGGTGCGTGTGTGCCCCCACACGTCATGTGCACATGCTGTTTCCTGTGGAGTGGTGCGCCATACGCAGTTAGATAGTATCCTTTACCCACCACTGCTTCTGTGTAGCAGCGTGCTGAGGAGAACGACATACGGATGCGAAACGTGGTCACTGCCGAAAGCTGAAGAGCGGACGCTGACCAAGGGAGCGGTCGAGAGCGGCGCACGCTTCCTTGTATCGCTCCGCGGCCATATGAACAATCAGACTGTCCGCCAGATGAGCAGCGTGCAGGATA